CCTTTGCCTTCCTTCACTCAGTCCTTGTGATGCTATTGACTCAGTGTAGCCTCTTTAAGTGTCCTGCTTGGAGTACAGGCACTGATTTTTATAGGGCTACATTCTGGCTAGAACACTGGCTGGCTCCATACCCAGACAGGTGATAAAATCCATAAACATTTCACTTCTTTACATGGAGACTGGCCATCTACCTATTTTAGTCTCAAGTTCAAGCAGAAATTTAATTTATCACATAATCAGCATCTTTTTGTCGTGGGTATATTTCACTATATGGTTTTATAGGACCTAATGAAAATTCACTTCTTGCCTAGGATTTCCTGCCCACATGAAGGGTCATTTACTGAGGTCAGGAGTGTTCATATACAGCAGAAAGAATAATTTCCTTTACTACAGCAATTACTGGCAAAAATCAATGACCCCTGTGAAGCTGGAGGCCAAGGTAACTAGATGCAATAGTGCTTTCTAGTTTTAAAAACTCCCAGGGCCTCAGGGGTGTGACTCCCCTTGCACATGTATTGAGGAGCACTATCCACCCATCTAGGCAAGATTCCTATCAGGATGTCAGACTTCTTAGCATTCCAAGGTCACAAAAATTATTTTAGTGCAACTAAAATGCCACCTTTGGCTAGCATTGAGATTGTCTAGTTGAAGGGGGAACATCTCCAAAGACTTCTTGCAGTTGAAGTGTCGTGCTCACCTATATATTGCACCAGTGTTTATGAACACAGTGTCAGACAGCTCGGGAGACTCTTCCATCACAGAACTTGCTAGGCAAATATAGTTCAGCTCTGATTCAGAAAACTCAGCTCTGTTGCTGTGTCTGTCCCCATGCCTTTTCAGGGCAGTGTCTGCTGAAATTCCTAACTTATTCGTCACTTTGGCTTTTTCTTTGCAAAGGACATGGGCCCTGAGGAAGAAGTGGGCTAATTCCATTTTTTTCATGGCACAGTGAGTGCTGTTCACCTTTCTCATTATTACTGTTTTTTTCCCTATAGATTCATGCTGGAAAGAAGATGGACTGGCCACATCTATCCCTCTACTTGGAGTACACTACTTTTTGATGTGGTTCATTGCTCTGCTGTTATGCTTTTTTTTTCTCTCAATTTTTTAAGCCAAATGTGAAATGATGGATTTGGCAGCCACATTCTTGCCAGCCACCCCCAGTCAGCTGAGCAGCAGGATTTAAGCCACAGGGGGATGCAAAGGCTGGTCTCTCTCTGCTCTGCAATGTGAGACAGTTTATCAGAAACACAGAGGTCAGACAACAGACACGGATCTGCAAGACCAAGTTCATCTGTATTTGCAAAATTCACAACTAAATCACTTGCAAGTGGTGGCAGGGATCTGCATGCACTGCCTTCCCATCACTAACTTCTTAAAACAAACACCTGGCATTGCAATATTTCCTGAACTCCCTTCATTAATAAGCTGTGAATGAAAAGCACCCAAAGTTAAAAACTTTTCCTGCGTTTGTTGGAAACCTTGCTACAACTTTACTAGCATCATTTAATTACAGACCAGGGCTCAGCAGCAGCCAAGCCTGCACCCTGTGATTAGCATGCCTCACAGTGTCTGACAGAAGTTTTACTCAAGAACCCAAAAATTTCATTGCTCAAACACTTTATTAAATCCTTAAGGCTAAAAATGGTTTTCAACAATGTGCATGCTGCTTTAGAGCCTAAGAAAATCTACTCTGGGAGTTAGGAAACATTTCCTGGGAGGCAAAAATATGATCAAAAACATATTTGGTAAAAAGGAGAAGGGGTAATGATGGTTTTTAGCTACAACTTTATTTTATTTCATCTCAGAAGCATGCTGTCAGTTTAACAGAAGGGAACATCTATTGGATTTTGGTTTGCATCTCTCTTAAAAGAAAATTATTCTCATCTAGAGCTGTGGGGTTTTTTTCCCTAAACCCAATAAACTATATATTGGAATGACCTTGTAACAAGTTTCTGTGGCTCTTTAATCACCAGTGGCTGCTAAATGAAGCATATCTATTTTCTCTGTTACATTACTATTGGCAACCAGGTCTTCAGTAAGTGCCCAGAAATATTTCCATGGCAACAAAAAGCATTCAGCTTTGCTACTGTTTTGTGCCAATTTAGCTTTAAAATATTCTATTGTGGAGAGAAATGTGGTACATTAAGTGAAATAAAGTCAAGATGCAATGTTCTGAAAAGAATATAAGGATAAACAAGAAACATGTATTTTGCAGAAATGGAGGGGGGGGAACCACCAAATGAAAGGGAAAATGTTCAAAGCTCATTCTGATGCTACTAAATGGCTTTGCTGAATGTCAGCAAGTCCATACACTTGCTTACATTGTCACTCAGGGTTAGGTAACAAAGCTAACAGAAATAAGGATACCTCAAATATCTTCTCTTGATCATTTTAATCCATGACTGAAATTTTAAGTTGCCAGGGTATTACAGTCTCTCTGCATGTCTAGGTTACCATCAGAAGAGTTCACACTCTTGATGTTAGAGAATGAATCTAAAGGAAAAAGAGGAAATAAAGAGTTGAAAAATAAAATACAAAGAGCATGTGTGTTTTGGAAGTGAAAGTTCACTTATAAGAGCAAAACGAGTTCTTTCACATCAAAGAGTTTGTGGAAGACATTTTCAAATCACAGTTCAGCACTTTCTCTCCCATTATACAACTTAGTTCTGAGAAAAAAAAGCATCAATTCCCAGCCCTCTAACCCTCAAACAGCCAAGTTTATGACTATGAAGTCTTAAAACCATTGGATGGTGCTTCGTGCAGTGCCTTGCAGAGGTTAAAAGATTAAAGCCTATTTGAAAGCATTTGGAATGATGTTCCTTCTGGTGTAAAAAGCTATGCAATGCTCCGTGTGGAAGCAGAGAGCTCTAGGAAGCAGGAAGGTAGGTGCTGGGGAGCTCTGAAAGGTCAGCCTTCCAGTCCACAATGGCTCCAGAGAGCTTACTGAGAAGGAAAGCCAATAAGTATTTAGAGGGACTCCAACAGCAGCTTGATCAGTACCTGCTCTCAGCTGGGAGAGAGGTCCAGGGTGACCCTCCCCTTTAGCTGCAGTGATGGGTTACTCTGGCATCTGTCTGTCACTCTAAATCTCTCTCACTAGGAAGCTTCATCTGGTTCATCACACACTCCTAAGGACCCTCTTTCTCAGACGTCCCTGCAAACAAGCCTGCAGGTGACAAACATCTCTGACAGTGACAGCAGCCCATTCCTGGCTCCCGTTTCCCCAAGAGCTCATCTCCTTTCCTCCCATCCACTGTCAGCAAGGGTGTAGTACAGAGACAGGACAAAGATCTGGAGGCTACCATTGGAATGATGCATTTGGCACCTGGCTGAGCCCCAGGATTTGCTGTGAATTGCTCTAACAGCCCCTCTTGGGGGTGTACAGACTCTGCAGGAGGAAGGTATGCCCAGGATAGCACTTGTCAAGATTATCCCTGGCTCCAGCATTGCCTGAAATTACGCTATTTGCCCTGCTCCATGACTTCTGTGCACACACTAGGCACATAATCCAAGCACACACAGTAAATCCAGCCCTGCAGCAGCATTGACTCAATGCCTATGAACAAACCCTGGGGTAAGATATCAGACAGGAGATGTATAAGGATACCAGAAGGTAGGGGTTGTCTCCAAGAAATACGGCTCCGAGGTACTTAACCTGAGAACTGGCAATGGTTCATTTGGAATATTAAACAAGCAGTCCCAGTTGGGGAGACAGAACAACAAGACCAAAAGCTCTTTTTAATTATTTACTCCATGGCCATAACATTGTGAGAAATAGTAATAAAGAAAAGAGCTAATTTTAACATTCATTAAAGAACACCGTCAAGGTTTATACCCTCTCAGTCTGATATTCCTATTAAATTCGAAAACAAACAGTCTGATCTTCCACAGTCTGCACAGAAAAGGCTAAATATGTAAGACTTTCCTAGAAGCCAAGAGTGACAAAAAGCTCTTGGTCATAATAAAACACACATTTTCAAGAGTATCTACTGCCTGCTTAAAAAAAAAGAAAAAAGAAGAGAATTTAGATATTTGAAGCCAAATTCTGAAAATTCTCAGTGAGTCAAGTTCTTCATCAGCCCCATATTGCAGACCCAGTCCCCCCAGTCCCCTTTCCTCCCTTATCCCCATTCCTTGGATGTTTGTAAAGAGCAACTTTATCCCAGCAAGACCCAAGGATGGTGCCAGCAGGACTGCAGCTTTCCTGTGTGTAGTCAGGACATAAATCTCCATCAGACCTCTGTGACTCAGGAAACTTTCAGCATCACTAATGGTGATATAGAGGGAGTACAAGTCACAAGGCTGAAACTCAGCCCTGAACACCATCGTCTGAAAAGCTGTTCCTGTCACTTAATGATCAGAAGTCATAGTTAGGCCTATTTTAAACTGAAAATATGAAACTCAGTTCTCCTTTCCATAATCTCCTGCCTGCTGTCCTCTTCAGTCTTATTTGAAAAGCCTGTGGGGGTGGTGGGAGGGGAGGAAAGCGATTTGGGAGCCTTTCATCCATAAAATCATGAGATATGTCTGGTTTTTTAGTACAGCATTTCACAGCACATGGCACAGTAACATCTTGAGATTGCTGGCACAAAGAAACAAGGTTTGAGATTATATATATCTTTAATAGCAATGACGCAAAGGCAGATGGTTCTCAAAGCAAAGGCTTAAGGCTAAACATTCCCTTTGAAGGGTCCTTCTACAAGAAACTAAACAGGGGGGGAGCAAAACACTCCTTGCTGCAGCAACAGGGCCTGATTGCCTTCTAATACACAGCCTTTCACCCTGGAGATTTCCACTTACTTCAATGAAATTAGTCTCACAAATGAGAGAAGAACTGGAAAGGTTAGATTTTTCTTTGGGATTTGGGGAGTTTTATTTTAGCTGTGGGGAAACAAAGACAACACAGAACATAATGAGCAGATTAGCAACTAAATCAAATCAATACCAGGAAAAGAACGGTCTGGGTAATACTGTCAGGGTGCATGCTGGCTGCTTACCTGCAGAACTTGCCTTGTCATTATTACTTTTTAAGGAGCCACCCAAGCTGAGGTTGTGCTCATGACCTCCCATCCTCACAGAGGGCTCACCTTCTTCCTCAGCGATGGGAGGAAGCCGATCAAGTGGCTGGAGATCTTCACTTGTCCAGTAGGATCCGTTGGCTGTCAAAGACCTGGTGTTTTCAACACAGTGCTCTGGTAAGGTGCTGGTGTTTTTAACCCGTTTTTGCCTCTGTGGACCCAAGTCAGAGCCACGAGGGAGGTTTTGTGAAGCAAGATCAGGACCCCCAATGTAACCATCTTCTCTAGGATATAAATATTCCTCATCCCAGAGGTCCAGGTCTTGTTCATCATCTGATTCCTCAGAATAATCCTCATAAACTCCTCCATTATTCTCCAAGTCCTGCTTCCTCTCTTCTTCTGACTTACGACCCACTCCACTCAAATTCAGCAGTGAAGCAGATATAGAGTCTCCTGCTTGTTGGAGAGCTTCATATATTTGAGACATCCAAGAAGACAGTGGCTGAAGGAAATTCTGAGCAGCCTCAGAAGCCATGTTTAATACTATGCCAGTATCTGGTGATCAGTTGTTCAGCTTTGCCAGCATGTCACTTATAATTCAGGGAGCTACAGAATAAGCACCATAAGAGATTACTGTAAATTGCTTGTCCATCAACACCTGTCGACACACTATCTACGTAAGATGTCTAGAACTGAGAGGGAAAAATGGAAAAAGCACTTCCACCCATTGAGAATACCACTAGAAATCCAGAAATGATGGACAAATTACACATATTCCTGCAGAGATCTGGAAGGCTTTTATTCAATTTCTAAACCTTATAAAGAAATAAAAACACAGAACACTGGAACACAAGTACCTTTTCGAAGTGCACACATTCTGGTTACAGCTGTCAACAGACCTGGTAAAAAAAAAAAAAGTACAAAACAACCTGCAATCAAAAATCTCAAATAGTCTCCTGGCCCCAGCTACGACCACATCCTTAGTATGAGCATGTCCAGGTGAGAAAATCGAAGGGAGGACAATTTGGGGAGAATTATGTTTTGAGTGAATAAAGTGACAGGCCCAGAGGATACAGTACCAGCCCATGGCAGACAACTATCTCAAATACATTGCTGCAGAAAGGCTCTGAAAAAGCTCTCTCTGCCCACAGAGAAACACAACAGAGAGTTGTTTCACCCTTCATAGAAGTGAAAAAAGAAACAAAACAGAGGAGGTGGAATATTATAGGTATGAAATGACTGGGAACAGAAGCAAGTTAACAAAAGCACTAGTGTCATGTCAATATGATGTTTTCTCAAAATTCATCTAAACTCTAAATAAAAACATAACTTGCAGAAAGTTAACATGCCTTTTTGCCCGATATACATCTTCCCACATTATCACAAGACAGATATTCTTTTAGGAACTCTGAGAAGGAGAAACCTACAAATAGGATGATGGTTTCAGGAAGAAAGAATTAAAGAGTTGCAGATTTTAGACTAGGAGACAACCAAAAAGAAGCAAAAAGAAGCTTCAAAAAGTAATACCAGTGTCTTGCTGAATTGATAGGTCTAAAAGCAATCAAATCATAAAAGGGTAAATACAATGTAAGCTGCAAGAAAATAAGCTCAGCAGCAATGTGTATTACTTGTGAAATAGTCTCCAGAGAAATACAGTGGGAATTCCAGTATTTTGGATTTTGAAATGGAGCAAGGACTAAGGAAAACCCACCTTGCTTGGTGAGCAGCTCTTTTACAGATGAGATCAGAGGACTTTACTTTTTAAAACACCCGTGCCAAATAATTTTATTCAGTGAAGTTGACTTATGCTGCAGACACTTCCAACAGGTTTATTAGCAGCTTCAGTGTGTGCTAAGAATTACAGTCCTTGCAAGGGCAGTGAATGAATGTAGGTTACTAAAGCCATTTTAAAAGCTGATGGCTGTTACAAACTCTGTGCTCAGGGCACAGACTGTTCCAGGATCCGTCTGTCAGCCGCCGGCCTCTGGCTCAGCCGCCGGGACCCGGGTACAGCTCCCTGCCATGCATTAAATCTTTGGCAAGGAACAGACAGTGTCATAGCCCAACCTCCCAGGTGAGCTGTTCCCTTCACTGACTCTCCTCTTTCCAACCCTGCCCTTGGCAAAGCCACTCTGCTTTGTGCAACTTATTTTCTCATAGACCTAAAGAGATTACATGCTCCCAACAACACATTTTCAGCACACTGCAGATTTGCTACTGGTAAATCACAGCACCAGAGAAGCCACTGAGAGGAGACTTCTTGGAACTACTTGTAACAGCGGGGTTCTCCCAGGTGTGGAAGGAGATAAACTCAGATGGGTAAGTACTGGATACCAGATAAATCTTTAAACTGTCATTTATTTACAGGCAACAGCAAATGAATCTCCGATTTCTAATGAAATCAGCCTCCATCTCAGGAGCAAGACTCGTGACAGTAGTAGCCCTCAGAGGGATGCAGGTATCCAGGAGTGATAGCTAACCAATGCAGATAAAACACATGGGCGCTAAAATGAAGTGCTGATCTGTTCTAAAAATCAACAGAACATAGCCTTGTGATATTTGCATAGGGAATAATTAGCTCCTCTTGTTATTAGATTTCAGAGCTAACACCTAATTGGTCCAACAGAGCCATCCCACTTCTCCTGGATGCTGTGGCTGACTGCACCACGCTCAGGCAAACATCGTGGTCCTGCACAAGAGACTCCGACACAGGCAGGTTGGTGTCACAACCATAAAGATGGAGGAAGTTTTCAAGGCAAGATTTTACTTCAGTGAGGGAATTAATGAGGTGATTAGAAGCCACCTGCAGGGCTTGGATGTGGTCACCCAGTCACCCAAAGCGGCAGATAAAGCTTGAACATGAACTTTCATGCACCAAGTAATTGCCTGGATCACCTTGCTATAAGTAGGTTGGGGGAAAACACAATGCAAACACACTCAAATATTCACATCCACAATTCTACCAAAGACCTGGATATTTGTCTGGATTAAAGCCAGAGAACCCCTACAAGTGCTTTGATTTCAGTTTATAGACAATGGATAGACACTGAACTACATTTCACCCAAAAATTCCTAACCATTTCCCAGTAACACCTGCAACTCACCCATGCAACTTGCAACTCAGAACCTATACAATCCCTACAGCCAAAAGCAATGCCTTTTCCAGGGTGCCTGACTCCATTTAGCCTTTGCTTGGCTTTTCCTCCTCTCTTCTCCCTCTTACTGAAGACTCCACAGTCAGTGATACGTGGAACAACTGGAGTTCAACTGAATTATAAATCATTTATTTTTGTTCTTGCAGCAGATGGATAAAATGTGTAACAAGCTGCAGACAAGTTTAGGCAGGCAATGATTTTACAAACTCAAGAGAGGATCAAAGGGGGCTGAGCTGTGTCACAGGCTCGCTGTTTCCCAGGAGCTCTCTCCCTTAATTAGGAGACACTGCTCTAACAGGGTGTTTATGATATATTTCACAACATGGCCTTTTCAACATAACGGATTTTTGCTTTTGAATTCTCTAACAGTTTTGACTTGCATTAGAAGGGGGAAAAAAAGTAAAATAACTGAGAAAAACATAAACTGTGTGGGAAATAAAAATCCATTTCTTTTCAAAAGTATTCATATAAAAAAAAAGAGAGATAAAAAAAGTTTAGCAAATTCACTTCGAGTTCCATCTTCTAAAACTAATCATCAGAATTTTCACACCAAATCACATGCCTAACTCAAAGTTGTTATGTTTTTTTTTTCCCCTCCTGGACAATAAGATAGCTAAAAGGATCAATGTTAAGCTTCTCGCAGAAACCATCATAACCTTTACTATAATCTATATTCCCTTGTCTTGATAGGATCATTATTCCTAAGTAGCATTTCCATTGAGATGTGCAATTACTGCATGGCTAAAAAAAGAAGACTATGAGCAGAACTTCAGACACTACTACAATGCAGAGGTTTGTAATATTACCAAAGTGTCTTTCAGTCTTCTTGATATGTGCATTTCTTACAATTTCCCTTATTCAAACTGATGCACAGCATGGGCACAAACTTCCTTTGCTTCAGTCACTTTTTGTGTGGCCCTTGCAAAAGTTTTCTACCAAGCTCCTTCCTAGCAAGGAGTCTTACGGAGCACAGGTTGAAAACAGTGTCCCAAAATATAATAACTGAACAATTTTTAAGTGAGTTCTATTATTTCTGAAATACCAGAGGAGGAAAAAATACACAGACCCATCTCTCTGCCTGGGAATGCACTATCCCCCTACAGAGACACAGAAAGATGAAACCAGCTCCCAGCTTCCAACGATCAGGAGACATCTTTGTCACACCACTGTTTTAGAACAATGTACTTCTTTTACCACTACCAAGAAAACTGTACCAAGAAGCTTTTTTTAGCAGTTTGGACAAGTTGCTGAATCCACTTGTTCACAACTGGAACTCTGAGCACTGTGCTGAGCCTCTGCTTTCAACAGCCACACATGTGCCTATGTTCCCAGAGGAAAGATTCCTGCCTTCCCCCCCCTCAGAACTTTTAATAAGGACACTGATAATGATTTACACCTTTATTTCCTGATCTCATACAAAGAGCACCATGCCCACCTGGCCTGCCACAGATCAGATTCAGGGACAGAAGCTTTATTTGCGTGGGCATCGAGGAACAGCAGTGTGACAGACCCACCATGAAGCCCTGCTCCAAGCTTAGGGCAGAAAACCTAAACCAAGGTGTGAATTGAAGCTGATACCCAGAACATCAAGGGTCTGTGCAAAAGGTAAGGCCATCTTGCTGTTCGTGAAAGGAGGAAGTAAGGAAGGCTTGGAGGGCTAAGATTATTTAATAACTCTTTTTGAGCTACTGAAAACTATTAATGAGCCTGGTGCTCCTTTCAGACTAGAACCCAATTAGAACACATTTAAAATAGCAGAGGGGAGATTAGAAATGTACTCAGATGAAGGCAGGCAGTAGCAACATTGGGCCAAGAAATCCTCTGTCCTAGTTCTGGGAACAATCTGGACTCTTTGCTCCTCTTGTAGTTGCCAGAATTATATCTAACAAGATGCTAGCAAAGCCCTTCCACCCTCACAGTGAAGGATAACCAAACATTGCTGTGATGAAAATGTATTTCCAGTCAAAATTGTCACAATGCCAACCCCAGCCTGTGCACTTGGAGCTGTTCAGTTGATTGGAGCCACTTGCAGAAGTGTTATGAGACAAGTTCACAGACAGTGCCCAAGGTTCACATCAACTGTGAGCATCACTACTGACCAAGCTTCCCTAAGGTAAAAACAAAACTGAAATACAGAACATCTTGATATCTTTTTGGCCTTTGTGCTATAAAAATGTTATTTATGTCGCTGAATTTAACACAAAAAAAAAGAAGATAAGACAGAGGCACTTTCCAAGTGATTATGTGCTCTGTAATAATAGTTTTCAGCTGGTGAATCAGAAACTCCAGGGCATTCAAGGAAAATCCAATGTTTTATGCCAATAAATTAGAAGCATCTCATTGGAAACATTCACGGGTTACGAATCAACACAGCAATAAACCCACTGCTGCAGTGCATTGGTCCTGCAAGCCCCAAAAGGGTGAAATGGAAACAAAGATGAGATCAGACAGACAGCAACCCACCCGGCTGCATGGGGTTCAGCCTACGCAGAGGAAGCCTGCAGGCCTATTTCTCATTCCCAAATCACCTCATGTCTTTGCAGGCAGTTCTCTAGTGATGCTGTGCCAAATTAGCTGTACAAATTGATACCCAAATGACAGAAGTGGTTTTGATCAGGATATTTAGCTCCATGGTGTCTCCTCCTTTCTTCCCATTCCTTTGTTCATGCTCTTCTTTTGTCAATAATAATGGCAACAATTACTGATCCTCACAGTTTCAGTGGGACGGGGAGAAGAGGAAAGGG